ATCCCCACAAAGCAAGGCAGGATAACCCCCAGGAGCAGGGAGGAAGGGCAGCCCCACACCCCAAACCCCATCCCACAAGGCGCCCACCTGGCACATCCTGCATGGGTCTGAAAGCTCCATCAGAGCCCACTCAGTGTTCTCTCCTCTCAGTGCCTCCTGCAAAGCTGAGTCTATAAAATGTTGTCACAGCAGAGCAGTGCAGGGGCTGCCAAAGGTCAGGAAATAATCGGGTGATGTTGGGAAAGTGCTGGCCCTGCTGCAGGGGGGTCTGGCCATTCTAAACACATTTGTGGCTGAACTGCTGAGAGTCATCCCTGGGCATTCCAGGATTCTCTTTTCTGACACAGGAACTTCCAGCCACACAGTATCTCCTGTGTGGAGCAGGATTTGATAAAGCATTTAAGATGTTTTTTTGTTTTTTGATAAAGCATTTGAAGATGCTCAGCTCAAGGCAGAGGCAGCCAGGGCACCCTCAGCCTGAGGGGGCTGATCTACTGCAAGCTCTGGGGGCTTTTTCAGCACTTCCAGACCTGCCTGATGGCTCCTGACACTTGTGGAGGTGCCCATCTGAAGGGCTTTTCATTCTACATCTGCTGGTGTTTACTAGAAAATCTCATCCTGAAAGCAAATCACAACGCAGAGCTTCACAGGGCTTTTCTGGAGTCACACATTAGCTTTAATTCTGCTGAGAAATGGCTTTTCCTTTCACAAAACACCAATCCTCTGCAGCAGCGTGACACGAAGTGCTCAGATTCCACGTGGCCCTTTCATTCCCAGGGCAGGGAGAGCTGAGATTGGGATTGCAGCTCAGCATCAGCCAGGGGCTGCTCCCTTCCAGCAGCCTGCCTCTCTCACTGCCACAGAGTAATTGCAAATGTGAAAAGCTGAGGCAGAAATAACAGGCTGAAATAACAGCGAGATCTCTGACCAAACTCACCCACAGGACTGAATTACTCCCTGCCTCAGCTCTGTGAGATCAGCCCAGATGAGGTATTTCATATCAGAGTGCCTGGATCCTGTTAACTTTTGTCATGGCTTATTTCAGGGAAGTTGGGTCTCAATTCAGCCTCAATTCGGAACTTTGGCAGTGCCTGCAAAGTTAAAATGCACTGGGCAGAGAAAGTCTGTTCATTTATTTTCTAATATCATTATGAATCCAGAAATCAGTCACCACCAATTTTATAAATAGGGAAAAATAATAAAAATAATTTCAAAATCCGTCTCCTAGCCTCTTGGGATTTCTAGGTGTTTTTTAAAATCTGTTTTCTTTTCATAATCTTCGTTCTCCCAAACACAGCACTCCCTTTGAAGGAAGCACAGAAAGAGCTGTTCTCACACTGCTCCAAAGTCACCTTCCCCCTTCATTTTACCTGTTTCCTACTTTGTTATTACCTGACTTTAAACAGAGCTAATCCAGAGCTGGGAAATCAGATTCAGCTGATGTGGGGGCAGCTCACCCATTCCTCAAAAACCACCCCATCCCCATGACCACCTTACCTGGTCCCACACCAAAACCTCTGTCAGTTTTTCCCAGCTCACAAAAATCAATGAAAAGCAGGATTTCAACCCATTTCAAATCCAAGTAACTCCATGTCCAGCATTCCTTAGTCTGCTTTAAACTCCACTTCCCTTTTGAGCTGCTCCTATCACAGTGCTCCCTTTGCCCAAACAGAGCAGGTACCTCAGGATTCCTCACAGAAATATGTTGCTTTCCCATTTATTTTACCTGTTTATGTTAATTTCCCCCTTCACTTGCAGCCTCTGACAGGAAAAAGGGTGCAGAAAGAAGGTGAAAATGTTTTTAAGACCTCTAGCAATCAATAAAGGCAGGGCTCCAGGAGGCAGAGCGCTCCCTCCTGCACTGCCTGCCCTGGGAATATTGATAGTGTTGTGGCAGAGCTTTTTCCTTCCTGCAGCCTTTTGAAAACACTGATAATATGAATGTTCCCATTAGCAAGAAATATGTCACATCAAAATGAATGGTATTCAGGCAGTAACAACGCAGCTGGCTGCCACGTTAACTCAATTCCAGGGCAGCAGAGCAATTCTGCCACCCAAACCTCATGCAGAGGCAGAGATGAATGCAGGTGGCTGCAGAGCCTTCAGGAGTGAGCCCCAGGCGCCAGGGATGAGCTGCAGCCCTCCACAAAACCCTTCTGTCCCAGAGCTGGGCCCCGTCCTGACCCCAAAGCTGCAGCAGCTCCAGGGAAGGAGGCAGGGGGGAATGCTGTCACCTCAGCTCCTCGCTGGCCACAAAGGGTCACGTCTGCTCTGGGTGCCTCACCAGCTTGCCTTACCCACCTTTAGGTCCTAAAAGCAGACCAGCGTCCTCTACATCATATTTGACTCCTTTTTTATTGAAGGATTCAGCAGCAAGTTAAACACTTGTTAAGATAACTGAGGTAAAAGATTTCTTTGCTTGCTTTTCTTATTCAAAAAGTACTCTCAAAAGATAAAAATGTGTTAACAGCTTAGCTGAACTGCAGCAAGCCCAGACTGGAGGTATCTGCTGCAGCCTCCAAGACTGACATTAAATCTTTATTCTGCAGAAGGTTATGGACAGATCAATGCTCCAGGGTGATTAAGTGACTAAATCATTTCAGATGAGCAGCAGATGCTTCACTGGCAGCCAGTGGACAAAGGGAATCTGAAATGAGGTTGCAAACTGAGGTGCCCACAATGACACTGGCACAAACCTTAAATATTCCAGATACAACAAGAATGTGACATTGTGACAAATTAGCAGTGCCAGCAGCTCCTGTGGTATGAAATTGAGTATTAATGGCCATGAAAACACAGCTATCCATGCTCCAGACACTTGAAATGTTTCCTGAATTTCCCAGTGGTATTTTGAGAAGTGCCCAAGCATTTATCCTGTTGATATGATTAGAAAAACACTTCTGAAAATTATATTGGGTGCCTTTAAGAACAAGTCTGCTGGAGCTGGTTTGATGAATGCAGTAACTTTTAGCTCAATCTACATCTCCTCCCAGACTAAACTGCTCCTCACCAGGACTAACCTGGTTTAAATATTACAGTTTAAATTCAGAATTTATACCTGGGAAAAATCCTTCTGTGCTTAGCAAACAGGTTTTGTCTTGCAGCTCCAGCTCTCGTGGCATCCCAGCCTGACTGTGGCCAGAGTTTCCTGCAGATCTCTCACTGCACTGGGAATCCTGGATGATTTCCTTTAAATTTCCACTAGCAATGTTAGGTATGGGCTGGGCAGTGTCAGAAAAGATCTTTTCTCAGTTTCACTGCCAGAGACCAACATTGTCCACCCAGGCAGAGCTCACAGGCCAAACACAGCAATAAACCCTGAGGTTTATTGGAGGAGGCAGCCTGGCACCACAAACTTGGCTCAAGTCACCTCTGCCTGGAGGTTCCTGGGCTTGGGCTGGCTGAAATCAGGAATGCCAGCTTGGAAGGGATGGAGTGCTGACCCCCAGGCTGACAGCAGACACACCACAAGAGCCTGCTCAGGACCCCCACCGCACAACATCCGCGCTGGATCGTGTCATTAACGAGCAATATAATGAATTAATAACACGAAACCTGAGAGCAGCAGCTTCAAAGGAAAGGCTCAGAGCATCTCCTTGATGTTCTGTGAGCCTGCCCCCCCAGAGAGCTCCTGCCCAGGGTGTCAGATGCTCCCCAGGAGCTGGGCTGGCCCTGGGGATCAAACCTGCCCCTGGAGCCCTCCCCTCCTCTGCAGGCACCTCAGTGCCACTCCTGTGCCAGGGAAAACGCCTCCTGCGAGCCAGGCTGAAAATATGGGCAAAACAAACAGTCAGTTGTTATGAGGAGAGCACAGAATTAGATGTAAAATTGCTGTGGACTCGCTGCACTTTCAAAAACCTATTTGGCTGCTACCACTAGAGAGTGATCTTCCAATATTTCCCTTGCTTTAGAACAAGCACAGTTTGTTTTGCAGTATTTCTGCAAAGAGAAAATTACTCCTGATTATACTCTCTGCAGGAATCTATTTTTGAACCTATTTCTTCTTTTCCCCCCCTCATCTCTTTTATTTTTTTAAGTTCAGATATGCTCTTTTCAGGCTGACAGTAAAATCAGGAACTGATTGGAGCCATTCTGAACAACAAAATCATCTCAGAAGGCAAGAGATGATGGCAGAGGTATGAATGTAAACTAAGGAGCTCCTAGTTTTACACCTGGAGTACAGCACAAAAAGTCCAAAATAATCAAATTATAATTTAATTTGGTTAATCAGTAAAATATATTTATTTTTATACCAAGTGCTGGAGGTTTTCTGAGCCACATTTGTTTTATGAGCCATAAAGAACAATTGCTTGCCATCTGAGAATAAGATCAGAACAACCAGATATTTATTTTTTTATATTTAACCATGACTATTTCTTGAGTGATTGTTCACTATTTAGGATCTGCTTGATTGCTCCTTGACTCCACACTCAAATATAAATTAACTTCACTCACAGATGTCACTGGGACTGTTAGAACTGAGTGAAGGGACCAGGGCAATGCTTTGGAAGGTGTAATGAATCATGGAACTATTCAGATTAGGAAAAACCTTTAAGATCATGAGTCCAAGCACCTCCAGAACAATGGAGTAAGTACTAAAACAATAGCAAAGTTGTAATATGGGAGAACCAACTGCTGTTTCTTCATGAATATTTGATGGTAATATTAAAATATTATAATCACCTCTTCTAGACCCAGCTCTGCTGAAATGCCAATGAGATCAAGGTGATTAAAGGCACCACAATATTCATTAAGGCTCAAATACCAACACCAATGATTTCTTTTCCATCACAATTACACTGAATTATTAAAATATACATTCCATATGTTGTACGGCAAAGTTTTACCTGTGGCGACTTTGCCAGCATAAAAATGCAGATTTTAATGTTGGTTAACAACACAAATGAAGTAAAGACCCCATCAGAGAATGTGATCATTCAAAACATTTTTCCATTGCCATATTAAAACTTGGAATGAAGTGGCAAAGCAGCTCCACTTACTCTTCAGCACAGCAGCCAAAATCCTCCATGGAGAGCGAGCAGGAACTGTCCAAAACAGCATTCAGGGCACCACTTCCACCCTGAGGCAACACTCCTTGTATTTTCATTTGAAATATCCATCATTTTCATACTTGTTTTGTGCATGGCCTGGTGAACATGCCCTAATTTCAAAGAAAAAAAAAAATCAGTTAAATGTGCAGGAAAACCCCAGTATTTATAAGGAGATTTTGAAGCTTTTGGAACCCTCAGCTCGGCAAGTTGGGCAGCTCTGAGTTACACACATTCCTGAAGGGATCTATTGCTCCAGATAAATATTGGTGTAAGAGACTGCCCCACTTCCCTGGGTGTGACACCCCCAGCTGCAGGTAAACCCTGAGCCCATGGGGGTACCACGGCGACTGTTCCAAGCCTCTCCCAGCTCCTGAAGTTCCAGGGATTTTTGGACAGCTCTGTCTGATACAGCTCATGGGAATTGTTCCAAACCTCTCCCAGCTCCTGTGGCTCCAGAGGTTTTGGGACAGCTGTGTCTGACACAGCTCTGGCTCCTGGGGATTGTTCCAAGCCTCTCCCAGCTCCTGAAATTCTGGGGATTTTTGGACAGCTGTGTCTGACACAGCTCTGGCTCCTGGGGGACACTGGGATCCATCTCCAGCCCCAGTTCCAACACCAACACCTCCACATTCCCCGTTTCCAAGGAGCACACCTCCTTCTTGAACAGCTGATGAGACAAAGGGGATCCCTGTGCTGCAGGGGTTTACTGGGAAAGGGCAAAACCCCAAACCCACAACTGTGGTGAGCAGAGCACCCCAGAAACTCTGGGCTCATCCAAAAGGGAAGCAGCAGCAGCAATTGCAGACAGAGAATTCCAGAAGGGCAAGGCAGAGTGCTCCATGGAGGGAAGGGCTCTGCCAGCACAGCCCTGCTCAGCTGGGATGGAGCTGCAGCCTCCAAGGAGAGTCCCTGGGAATTGCTTCTCATTCCTGCCATGGCACTGGCACTGCACTTCCCTGGCAGCCAAAGCCAGCCTGCCCCAAGTGAGAGGCTGTGGTGCTCCAGCCAGCTTGGCCAGCTCCTCAGGAGGGGCTGGGGTGAGCCCCAGGCTGCTCTGGAGCAGAAATGTCCCACGCTGGGCACGTTCCCACCGGGGAATTGCTCTGGCTGGGATTAAAGAACTGCTCTTGCTGAGCTCTGCGAGCTTTAATGCCTTTGTGTGCTGCTGCTCTTCCTTTGATCTTAAGCACATCTTTTATCCCAAATCTGTCCAGGGGAGATTAAAGGAGGAGACAGGAGGTTAATCAGAGCTGGCAGACCTGGGGGAGTCCTGGCGTTGGTGGAGCATCAGCTGGTGCAGAGCACTGGGCAGTGCCCACATGCCAGCCTTGTCTCCAGAGTGGAGACTGGACCTGGATCAGCTCCTGGGTGAGCTCCTAGGTCAGCTCCTGGCTCAGGTCCTGGGTCAGCTCCTGGGTCAGCTCCTGGCTCAGCTCCTGCCTGCTCCAGGAGCTCGGTGCCCATGCAGGGCAGCAGTGAGCAGGGATGTTCCCCACGCTGACCCGGGCAGGGGCACTGGGACACCCTCTCCAGGTGTCCCAGGACACGGAGTGGGTGCTGCTGGAGGGAAGGGATGCACCCAGAGGGGTCTGGGCAGCCTGCCCTCCCTGCCTGCAGCTGAGCTTTGTCTCAGAAATAACTCAGCAGGGACAATAGAAATGTCCTGGGCTGTCACACAGAGATTTCTACCCATTCCCACCGGGATTACTCTTCCCCTGCTTTGTGCCTCCTGCTCTTTTGTTGAAGTGTAAGGTAGAAAAAGTGAAGGCCATTCATAATTCAGAGCCGCAGAAACAAAAACATCCTGAGGGCTGCGAGTCTAGACAGACAACAAAGGAAGTTTGGGCACACCAGCTTTTCTCAGGGCTCTCTTTAAGGACTCAAACATCCCGCTCTTCCACAGAAATCCTTTTGACCTTAGGTTTGTACGTCTTTAGCTCAGTTTCTGGAGACTTTTCTACAAGTGTGCCTGTCTCAGGAATGAGACAAGTCCCAGAATCGTGCTGGGATGGGCCTGGAAAAATTTTAATGGAAAAATTCAAGGGGAGAAATGGGATCAATCTAAGGGGCACCAGGGCTGAACATCCCAAAGGGCCTTGGGTACTTCAGACCCACCAGTACCAGACCTGAACCGACAGAAAATCAGCCACTTATACCCCTAGATCAGAAAAAAAACCAAGCTCGGCTAAAAATCACTTTAACCCCCACTGTGGGCACTCAGAGCTCCATAGAATTTTAGGGTTTGTTTTTTTAATTGCCTTTAGAGATGATTTCAAAAACCCACGCTAAAATGAGCTTTTTACTCCAAGAAGTTCCTGGAGAATGGGGCATTTCTATAACTGTATCAGCTGCAACTTGTGTTTTAAGGCAAAAATGTTTGCTGAACAAAAATAAAGAGTTTAGTGCAGTACATAAATGGCTGAAATACAGCAGCTATTACAGGAATGGAAAGAGGACTACAATGCCTACATAAATTGATAGCTCCATTTCTCAGTGAGATACACAAGCTGGTAAAATAAACCATGTATTACAGTAATGGCAGAGCACAGGAGCACCTGGAGAGGTCTCTCTGTGTAACAAATGTACATGAACTCGTCTCTGCCACCTCCCAACACACAATTACTGATTTACCGTGGAGGTTCCAAAGGCAGCCTCACAAACGGGAGCTGGTGGGGAAGGCTCTGCTGTTAATTCAGATTTTATTTGTACCCAACAGCAAAGCAACGCTGGGAAGGGCTCAGCTCCTCCCTCAGACTCGGGGCTGGCAGCAAACACGGGGTAAAGGAGCAGCTCCTGCTTCTCCCACCCAGGGAAGCATTGTTACCATGGCCAGGCACCAAACAAAACCATTCCCCTCTGATGAGCTGTGCCATTCAATGGCCATGTCTCACTCTCTGCTCTCAGGCTCTTCTCCCCTCACAGGATCTCATTTTTTCGAATGGCATTAGCCAGACCAGATAAAAATGGGGTAATTAACACACCAGGCAGTGCAGAAAGCACGCAGCTGCAGCGACAGGCCTCCAACACATCCCCTGCTCATTGCTGGCTACTGATCCCCTTGTGGAGCACTGCGTTTGGGAACTGCAGCATCCCTCGGTGCCAAAGTCACCAGGCAACCCAACAGCAACGATCAGGAGCTCTCTGCTCCTGCACCCACCCTGCTTTCATCAGAGCCCTGCTCAGGATCACCGGGGACCTGCTGCAGCTGCATTGCTGGGGAACTGCCTGCAGGTCATGCACAGCACAAAGGGAGGGCAAGGGGACTGGGGGCAAGGCTCAGCGACCCTGCAAGGCCAGCCCAGGGTCACCTGCCTGCTCAGAGCCCTCTGGCAGGGCCAGCCCAGGGTCACCTGCCTGCTCAGAGCCCTCTGGCAGGGCTGGCAGGGACAGCCCAGGGTCACCCTGCCTGCTCAGAGCCCTCTGGCAGGACTGGCAGGGCCAGCCCAGGGTCACCTGCCTGCTCAGAGCCCTCTGGCAGGGACAGCCCAGGGTCACCCGCCTGCTCAGAGCCCTCTGGCAGGGCCAGGAGCTGTGCAAGGGGCCAGGACCTTCTATCTAATGCTGGCAGGGGCAGCCCCAGCACCCCAGAGCTGGGCAGGGGGCTCTGGCAGCACTCTGGAGGTGGCTGAGCAGGAGTGACCCCCCCAGCCCTGCAGCAGCAGCCCCACCTCACTCCCAAATCCTGCTGCAGCACTCCCAGGACTGTCCAGGACAGGGAAACAGGACCAGCCCTGCGTGCTGAGGACACATTCGGGTCTGTTCCCAGCCCAGAGCTCACCCACAGCAGTGTCAGACCCACCCGGGCTGGGCTGCACTGCAGGAACAGGGTTCTGCCTCTGGGCTCTGCCCATCCTGCAGGATCCAGCTGGGTTTCATCGTCCCCAGGTCCCCGAGGGTTTGGCAGGAACGAGGCTGGCTCTGCTTTCATCCAAGCTGATTTACCCTGCAAAAAAATGCAGGGAGAATTGCAAATAAACAAGGCACAGGGCGTTCCAATTTGCAGGAGCACACAGAAAGGTGAATTCATGGGGTTTTCCTTTTGCTCTGCTAAAAATAAATGTGAGAACCATAAACAGTTCTATTTGAATACCATTTCTTTTTTAATTTTAAATGTTGTTTTCTCCCCCAAGAGCCTGCTGTTCTACAGGATATTGTTATGGCTCAAAACTAGTTCTGCAATCCTTGGCAGCGAGGAGCAGAGCTCCAGAACAGAAAGGCAGCAGCAAAGAGGCTTTGCTGGCTCTGGCAGATCTACCAGCAAGCTCGGGCAGAGCTGCTCACACCAGCTCAGCATGCTCCCAGGAGCCACAAGTGGCTGAATTGTGTCCCCAGGGGTCACCTAGTGCCCAGCACATCCCTCAGCACAGTTCCAGCCCAGCTTTGCCCTCTCTCACCTGTGCCAGGACAAGAAGCTGGCCTGGCTGAAGGAAAGCTGAATTCCTTCAGGGCCCCTGGCACAAACTGGGGTAAATAACCACACAGTCCTTGGGCTTTGTCCTTTTTCCAGTCGGTTTTGTGCTGCTCAGGATGTCCCAGTGAGTCAGAAGTGGCTGAAAGCTCAGGAAAATGAAGCTGGAGCCTGCCATGAGAGCAGAGTGCCAAACGCCTGCCTGCCAGGGGACAGTGTGGGCTGCAGCCATCCCTGCCCAGCAGCCCTGCACACCTGTCCCAGCACAGAGGGGACACCTGCAACAAGGCTGTCCTGCTCCCCAGGAAAGTGCAGCAGCCCTTGGAGCCAGCAGAGGGGCAGAACCACCTCCCTCCATCCGTGCATGTATAAAAACTGAAGGTATTTCTAGACATTTATTTTTTAATAGATCATGAGGCCATTTAAGTATTTACATTTATCCCTGGAGATGCCACAGGACACACATTTCACCTCAGTTCTGAGTTGTTCCATGCCTTCCTTCCCCATCCTGGCCCTGCAGGTACCAGGGAGAGGCAAAGCCCAGCCCCAGCACCACAAACCCCACTTCATCTTCTGGACCAGGTGCTCCTAAATGTGCAGGGAAAGAGGGAAGGAAAAAAAACCAACTGACCTGAGGGGGCACTTCAGACAGTGACAAGGAAGCCCAAGTTCCATAATCATTTGTTTCCAAGACAAAAACTGAAGTAGGAGAAAAAGAAAGCAGCAAATGGGCTTCTTAAAATATAAACTTCTTAAAATAAAATATAATCCTGTCAACTGTTGTCTCACTG